CTGGAACGTCCAAGTCGGACGCGGGACGTCCCATGGGACACGTTGGACGTCCAATGGGACTCGTTGGACTCCCAAAAGCGTAAAAACGTGCGACACGTTGGACTTCCAATAGCATGGGACGCCATGGGACACGCCGTAGGACATACCACGAGGGTCCCATCGGACGTCCAAACCGTCGCATTGGGCATGTGAGACGTCTTATGGGACATGTGGGCCGTCCCATTGGCTCCCGCGCCGACGGATGGAACCCCCATCACGTGCCCACTCCATTGACCTACATGTAGCGGGAAACACAACTTGCACAACCAATACATAGTCACATCCGATCTTGCGTACTACTTTGCCTATATCTGTTCGTCTCATGTGAGGACGTCCAACAAGACGTCCAGCTGTGACGTCCAAGGCATCTCATCGGTCGTACACATGGGACGTCCCACGTGACGTCCCATTGGACGTCCCACGTCCAAGTTGGACGTCCCAAGTATCCCGTGGCACGTTTTGGACTTCCAATGGTGTCCCATCGGACGTCCAGCATGTTCAGTTGGGTGCCCAACGTGTCCCATGGAACGTCCCTAGACGTCCAACAACGTGAAATTCCGATAGACAGCGTCGGTCACTGAATAGTTCGTACTGGCCGGTGGCTCGAGATTGCCCCGTCCGCTTGAATCCTGGTCTCCTGTGAGTGATGTATCCTGTGACTTCCGTATGGACTTCATCATTGGCAATCACCGCAGCGTGGACCAAAGCGAATTCACCCCCCTTCCCTCCGAACTGTTTTTCTGGCCACCTTCCTTCCGAATCGACACGAACGCACGGTGGCCGCGCTCGAACTGAGCAGACATAGTCTACGTAGCAAATTGTCGACTGTGGAGGCATACAATCCTAAGTTCTTAACGTGTAGAACAGTGCTCCCACGTGAACGGTAGCGTACTGTTAGAACACACACGTGGCTCTCTGACAACAAGTGCGTGGGGTTGACTACCTCAGGTACTTGCAGTGAAAACATGTTCTAGATAGGCGACGTAGGCTGGCAACGGTTGGCCTCAGGAAACCCCAACCACACATCGCAAAATGGTTTTTACCAGTATGGGCATGCAATCCTTCTTTTCCGTAGGCCACGCGTACGTGGGTGTCATAGGCGACAAGCGTTTCGCCAACCGCAAGATCCACATGACATCTCGAGGATTTGTTTTCGTGCCTAATACATCGAGTCCTGGGATACTGTAGGTTCCTACAGGTACGACGACTAAAGATTTCTCCCAATGCTTCCTGTTGGAAATTCGTCGGAGGCGCCCGCCATCAACACAGAAGGCCCAGGCTCTCAGCCAGAAGAGCCCTTGTCTTCCTCCGATGGACGTGGTGGAAAACGGCTTGGAAGGACGCTCCTGTCGACGACCATGTACATCCAGGACGTTTACAACAAAAGACACCAACAGAGGAAAATATTGTACGGAACGGACCGAACGCATCCGCGGTCACCGTTGGTATCGAACACCCAAAGCTATTCAACCTCGAACGTCCGCCGCTCTATCACACGTCCACGTTGGGGGGCGGGCTGGGTGCCGCCAAACTCTGATATTGACTTGTATACTCAGGCGTGTCGTAGTTGCAGCAGAATCGCCAGATATTTATCTTCTCGTAGCAATCCTCCTCTCGTGCTCGGATGGGTGCACACGTACCCGTGACCAGGACACCTATTGAAGAAATAGGTCGAGTTTCCAACAATAACGCAGTCTACGGCTGCTCTACAGGGAGTCGCACAACAAGGAAGCGCAGCTTTCATCCATAGGCGTGAAAACCCTTGGCAGAAGGACAGAGTCCATTTCTGTTGGCTTCTGAGACAGAGACCTTCACAGCTATTCATTTGGTGTGGGGTTGGTGGAGACATGTGAGGTAACCCCCGTAGTCCCCACGGTGTTGAAAACTCGCCGTTGTAATCGAGTCCTATTTTTCTTGGAAGCCAAGGCGATATCTCATCTACAGAGATTCCCCAAACATCGACAAACATCGGCAACTCCAATGCACGCACAACACCAGCCCACAACTTCTAGCCGCAGCAGCGGCAGCAGCAGGTTGAATGCCATGACTCCGTAGATCACTCGTGACGTCTAATCTACCGAATGTACAAATCCAACCAAACATCTCTCCCACACAGACACATCATAACGGCAGCTAATAGTACCGTGTCTGCACGCTAGACATGCATTTCAAAACCCCAAGGGGAGAGCGAGATACCAACCAGGCAAACCACGTTTGCCGCAGACAACTCCCCCCCTGTTCTATCGACTCTCTGCCTCATTCCCCATCACTTCTGTGTCTCTCTTCCCTCCAAACATCCACCGGGGATTCTATTTACTCCGGTACTGCAGGCAGCAGTCTCAGATGGCAAGTCTCAATAAAGGTTGCGTGGACCCGGTTCCTGAAGTCAGTCCTCTCCTTCCCACCACTTCCGAAGTAAAGGGGTTGGCCCATTGTCAGGTCCCGAGGCTCGCAAACCACAAAAAAGCCTGTTTGTATTGTCAACACCCAACACCCCTGCTCCATACCCAAGTCGAGTCCTATCTGAAACCAAACTCTTGACCCAAACCCTCCACGACTGAGTTTCGTATAACCGATTTCTCTGGACTCCTTCGTGCACACTTTCAATCAGCATATCCGTGACATGGACGCCGTTCAGTGCTATTGGATAACGTACGGTGGTGTACTTCTTCTGGCACCCTTTTGCCGGGTGGTCTTCTTAGCCTCTTTGCCCATATTGTCTATCTAGTACCCTAGGCCGTCTATACCCCTACCCAGTCATTATGTATATAGGAACATCCCAACATTATAGGTGCACGTATGCATATCCAGTATCAAACAATGTACCTCAACCAGTTAACCGCCTACCCATCGCGCTTACCTCGGTGATGCTACATCAAGTGTTTACTAGACCACGCGTTGTGGACGCGAAACGGAAACACATCCCGCTTAGGATGCCATGCTGGACGTGAAGCACCTCATCAAGGTCACCCTCGGGATGGCACCCGCCAAGCAAGCGTGTCCCCTAAGCTACACATAACAATGCGGGGTTGAATATTCCGAGCGTTTTCTGCTGTCAGTCTGCTTGCCATTCCAATAGATATTATACCTAGCCTGATAACTTCCCGGTGAGGTGTCGGCCTTTCGACCTCGACAATGACGATGCATCAACAGCACCTGAAAGAAGGCACGCGAGAGCACGTCAAGAGAGTGCGTCCTCTTCCATAACTTTCGTTCGGCGTGTGCCCTTAACTCGGAGAAGGCGTTGCCGTGATGGAGCAACCATGCGGACGACCAGTTAGAGAGTTTGATGGACTGACATGGCGTACGAGCCACCGCAAATCTCGTCGGGGTTGCCCAAGCAGGGCATGTCGCAGACGCCGAAACCATTGGCATCGTAGTCGGTGTTGTCACCGCACCAGCACTGTTTTAGGCGGCAGCATCAGGGCGTGGTGGTGTAAACAGGAGGAGGGGCGTGTGGCATGGTACACGTAGCGTGTGAGAATTGCGCTGTTGTATTTTTCAAGGTGAAATAGGTGAGGTCGAAGATCATGGGGGTGTACATGTAAAGGTAACGGCTAACGAAGGGACATAAGCGCAGGGTGGGAACGTGCGCACCACTCATCGTGTGTTCTGTTCGAACGTTCGAAGACATAACGCAAAGGAGGATTTCTTCCCATATTGGGTTTTGGAGACCAGACGAAGCCGCGCATTATCATGGTGTTTGTTACACCAAATCACATCTATGTACCTCTCACCGTTGTTGTACGTATATCACAGGTGTCCAATAGAGCAAACGGCGACGGACACGAACGTCTCAGGTATATCCCTGACAGTTGGGGAAGCCAAGCTAGGATACGTCTGGCTAGCTCTAGGAAGTAGCTGGTCGAGATCTATCACGGAGTGACATGGTAAAACATCGTGAACCGTCGCAAGACGATTCGACCCAAAGCAAAGCTGAGGCCTTGGTCTGCGAAATCACAACACTTGGGACACCAATGCACAAGGTCGTACCTCTTGAGAGTACTGCGTCCCGTAGAAGGCCGAGTCGGCGCAGAGCGTTGCGCACGTCTGGTCGTTTGGTGATGTTCGTTTGGTGACAAAAGTCGATCATTCAAGGAAGAGGGGAAAGGAGCAGGTCGAAACGGAGTTAAATGGAAGCGACGGGCGTTGTGGTGGCGAGGTGGTTTCACGACGGGTTAGGAGTATTCTAGTGATGCCTGTATTATGACCACGCGACTTAAGCAGCAATCATCCACGCAGCTTACTTGCAACACCACGGCAAGGTGTTGCTATTGCATACGAAATTGCGCATCGGTTGGTGGGCAGCCAACAATTGTACAACAGCCCCCAACCCCAACGCTGTTGGTCGGCAATTCACTCGCCTCTGCAGTCATATCGTTAGAGGAAGCCTCCCACACGAAAATGCGGCTGTCGGCGGGGTCCGAGAAGCACCCGAGGTACGACGGGTCGATCGAGTAGATGTCCATGCTGTAGGCCCCTCCGCACATGTCGTAGGCGTCGCCCCCGCAGGGCATGTCGCACACGCCGTCGCCGTGGGCGGAGTACTCGGTGTTGTGGTCACCGCACCAGCACTTGTTTCGACGAGATTGTACCACGAGGTGTCGCGGACGGAAGGGTCGTCGAAAGGAAGAAGTGGCGAAATCAACCACACGGAAGACGGCGTATGATGATCGATCAAACCCTCACCACACTACGACCTTGGACTGAACGCCTACCCCAAGTCTGAGTGTCTTGGTTCAAAACCAATTTAAAACCTCGCGACGCACACTCAGGGTATCAAAACTGTTTTTGGAGGTCTCACCTGAATCGAATACTGCAGGCCGTAGAAAGAGAAGCCTTCGATGCTGCAAAGCAGTCCGCAGTGCTGCGATTCATGCGTGTGCACGCAACGGTCGATCATCCGGACAAGGGGGGAGGGTCGAGCATGGCGGTGGTGAATGGGGTCACAAGCTTTGATCACATGATGTCGACGTCCGCAACGCCAAAAAGCAGGAAACGCATCGGTATCACCAGGTAGAGGGAATGCCTTGAACGCACGAGAGCACACGTCCATGAACGGAACCAACCAATCGCACCTCTGTGGTCAAGTCGAAATCAGACGTCGTCTGGTGGAAAACGCGGTTGTCCGCCGTGTCGGCGAAGCACCCACGGTAGGAGGGGTCCACCTCGACGTTGTCGTTCTCGTAGACACTCATGGCGTAGGACCCTCCGCACAGCTCCCCAGAGTCGCCAGAGCAGACCATGTTGCAGACACCGACGCCGTTGACATCGTACTCCGCGTTGTTGCCGCACCAGCACTGTTTCAATTGGCGGCGGCGTTCGACCGGGGCAGAGGGTGCGGTCGGCAAGGCGCCTGGGGTCCACGCCGATACGGTCGAGCATGCATCACGCGCTTCAACGGAAAACAAAATCAAACGATTCCGCTTTGGGCGAGGGTTCTGTAGCAAACGAAGAGTACAAGCCCGAGCTGGTGCGCAGCCAGTTAAACCGGATTGCTCAAATATTTAGTAGCAATGGACGCTCGCGTCGGTCGGATTATGCACCTCTCGTGCAACGACGATGCTGGACATTTGTGAATCATGTCACCGATAGGTATCAACTACGCCCCATCACTTCGATGTTTGGTGCATGGAAATCTAGTTGGTGCCTATGCATGGAGCAACGAACAAAACAAAAAACTTAGACCGAAACTGCCGAAAGGGCACCTCGGTGAAGCCGAAGGACGACCAAAGCCGCTTGCACTCACAGGCAACGCGGGGAAAATAATCAGACCAAAGCGCGACCGTCGCCGCCTTCATCACAGAAACCCAATTCCCACGTGAATGATACCGTTCACCCCTGTTGGTACAACGTTGCTCGATTTACAGCACACGACTCATTCTCCAGACGTCTATTGCTACTAAGAGCGCACCTGCTCTGAGTATTGCGTTCCATAGAACTCGTACTCGGCGCAGAGATCCCGGCAAATCTGTGGTCGTTCCGTCAAGTTAGGGGAAAAAAAAAACGGATTAGCCACGAAACAGAGGAAGAGGCAGTGAGAGAGTTCATTGGTCACACGATGAGCTTGAACGGCCTTCGCAACTGCTAGACAACGACCAGCGCTGCAGGACATCAACAGAGAAACAAGCAGAGTGCAAGCCACGCGTCACGAACACACGGGTAGGGAAAGGATGAGACCAACACAAAGCAAAAACACCGTGTCCAAAACGGACTGCGCTTGCCCGTTCACCTCCGCGGTCATGTCGTCAGAAGAAGCCCCCAGGGCGAAAATGCGGTTGTCGGCGGGGTCGGAGAAGCACCCGATGTAGGAGGAGTTGTCGCCAATAACAATGGCGTCGTGTGAGCGTATGGAAATAGCGTCATACCCGCCGCAGAACTCGCCGTCGGTGGATCCAGCGCACTCATAGTCGCAGACGGCCGGACCGTTCTGGTCGTAATCGGACGTGCCGTCATCGCACCAGCACTGGTTTCATGACATATTGTGGTGGGTGCAGCAGACGCACGGTAAGGGTAAGAAGGGGCATCGATGTAGAGTGGACGCATGAGGACCCCAGGCGAACGATGACGGATGACGAGCGCAGATACGACAGGGCGGATCAACCAGCAGAATCGTGGCATCTTCTGTCGGACTCAGAGGAAAGCTTCCGCAAGCGTCATATGAAGTGTCGTCGGCATCTGCAACAACAACATGCGTTTTCACATATAGCAAGTGCAGCTAACGTATGTATCGCGTGCATTTTTTTCCCGTTTTCCAGTCTCCCCCCAACCTTGGGTCCGAAAGTGGAATGCACTGATGCAAAGACTTGGGGGTCGACCCGGACGTGAACAGCCACCCGGTTTGGCCGCCACAAGGGCAATTTACCCACAAAAATGGACGCAATAACTCACTCGCAACGAAGACTGTATCTGGGAGCCTTCAACGTCCAGTGATCCCGAACAGAGCATTGACGTGAATCCGCAGTCCGTTTTTTCGCACCATTGTGCCCCTCACTACTTCCGGACAGAGGGTTTCGCAAACCAATGAGGGGTCCTATCTCAAGAAAAACGGGGGCATTCGGACATTACTGGGTTGGCAGAACTCGCATCTCACCTCGGTTCCATACTGCGTCCCGTACAACGGATAAGCTGCGCAGAGATCGTCGCAGACCTGCAGTGTGGTGCATTGTTTCCGAGACGAGGGGAAGAATGGTTAGGTTAGTCGTGGTGCACGCAGGCCAACTTAAATTAACTTTAGCTAGGGTAGTCGATTTCCATAGCTGTTAACGTTGAACAGAGGCGGAAAGGCGTGAATTGTTTTCCTGTGTGTAATATGCCGTGAGCGGGGTTCGATAAAACGACTCGACATGCCTGCTTGGACAAACCAATTGTGAATATTTCTGCTCTCCGAAACATGCAAGAGTTACGGGCTTCTCCTATGTGCTGTCAAGCAGCAGCCACACCATCGGCTGTGTCAGCGAAGTTGGAAACCACATCACCCACTCTGCTTTCCCTACTCTCCACATCCCAACAACGGCTTAGCATCAGCATGCGTGCCATCACTACTGCCGCGGACAGTGCGGAGTGTGTATGCGCACAGACTACGAACGCGTTGGCTACTGTGGAACCGTCATTTTCATGCTGCACTCCGCTGGTTCCTCACCGCAGTAGTCATGTCGTCCGATACGTCGATCCGGGTGGAGAACAGCCGAGTGTCCGCCGTGTAGGGATCGCTCCAGCACCCAAGGTAGTTGGGGTCGTTCGAGTAGATGGACAGGGCATACTGGCCGCCACACACCTCGTCAGTGTTGCCGGTGCAGGGCATGTCGCAGACGCCGGGGCCGTTCTCGGCGTATCCGACGTTGTCGCCGCACCAGCACTGTTTTTTAAACGGCGATCAGTACGAGAGGAAACCGGGTAGGGTAAGGGTCACGTGATTGCGGGAGTGCCTTGCGGTGTTGTGCACTAGGTGTCAAGGGCCGAAGAAGGTGATTGTGGCAGTAGTGTTTTTGTCGGCGACGTCAACGACTGGAGAAAACTGTGTTCTTTCGTGGACGATGGACGGGCTCGGTCCCGACCGTTAGGCGATAGTCCCATCTCGGGAACGCGTGTTTCGGTTTCGTTGCATTCCTCCATGGTGAGGCTAAAGAGAAGACCACGGATAGCATAGCGCAACTTAAATATTGGTGTGTGAAGAACCGAGCAGAAGCCCGACGGCTGAAGCTTGTTTTCTTCGGTCGCAGGTACAGACAGGACACGATGATCGTTTCAAGCCGAGGTAAAAGACTACGCTCGTGATCCCGCCAAGCGCATGGCGAAAAAGCGGAATAATCCGTACACTTTTACCACGACAAAAATCTCGTTTACCACCCGACCGGCCAGCGTGTTCATCTCCACTGCGATCATTCTAAACGTCATAATTCTCACCTCTTGCGAGTACTGGGTCCCGTAGAAGCCCGACTCGGAGCAGAGGGCGGAGCAGGCCTGTGGTCGGAGGGTCGTGTGTATGCATGCAAAGCAGTCGATTGCCCCGCGTGGGCGAGGGGGGGCGAGCGGTGTCAGGCACGTGCGTGCGCAGACGGCAATGTGGGAAGCGCTGGGTGGCGTGGTACTGGTTCGTATCAAATCTGCGGTCTTATCTATCTATCGATCACTCACATCTGCGGTCATAGCGGAGGTAGATGCCTCCCACACGAAGACGCGGTTCTCAGCAGGGTCCGAGAAGCACCCGAGGTAAGAAGGGTCATCGGACTGACCTGCTCCGGCAATAGTGAAAAGCACGTGGATTTCACGAACTGAGAAGGAGCTTGGGCTACGATAGAATCATTCAACCAATGTGCAAACAGGAAGTAACGTGCGTCTACGCGTGTGTGTGGGGGCTACATGTACACAACAGAGGGGGTGTTCGGAGTATGCACCCCGAGTCTCGAGCTGCTGAAGTTTTTCCCGTGAGGTGGTCGAGGGCGGCCAACCATAACCGCGTTGCTACAACTAGTTAAGTAAAGTCTTTATCAACGTGGTGACTTGGGATTTTTCAGTAGAAACGAACTACATAAGATTGGCAGGCTTCGCCGGGCATTTATTTTCTTCGTGCTGCGAAAAACTTCCTGGAGCAACTTGTTTCTCGTGGTGGCGGGAGATCTCAATCACAGAAGTATGAACTCCGAACCTACGACGGGAGCTTACTCGCTTTTTAGTATTACCCCGACGACCGCCCGCCCGCTCAACATTGCTGTTTTTCGTTGTCAGTGGGCGTGGCTCTAGCCACCCGACACCCCGCCGAAATTCGGGGGCCTGTACAATAATCTTGTTTATATAGTCTCTGAACCCTTAGCTATTCAGTACCTGCCACGCCGGCTTAGAGATACGCCCACCGAAATATGATGATGGTGTATGCATGGTGTAGACCTACATGTATGTGTAAAATTGTGACAGTTGGCTTTGACTCGAAACTCTAGCTACCGATAAATCTATCACTGATGCTCTCACCTATTGCGACTCCAAGATAGAGCGTCGGGAGCGCCAGCGAAAGGAGATGCATCTTGACCTTGGGATGGGATATCGGAAAGTTGACACCTTCAGGGGGACAGGCATGCACATCAGCGCAACTTTGCATATTGTAGGAACCACAAGAAATGCGAGGTGTTCATTTGATGCCGTTTTTTTTTCTCAACCAAAACCAGCTCAACCATACAAACGCTCCTCTTGCGGGGTGTTTGTATGGGATCTGGTGTCGAATATGCATATTCCCATATTTTATACCCTGCAGGATAGCACGAACGAACTCGTTTCTTGGGCGCCCCTCCGACCTGCATGCCACACCCACCCCGAGAGGGCTACCACCGGTCAGGGTCAACGCAAGGCGGGGCTCTAATTGATGGGCGTGCGTCGTAGACGGCACAAGTTTGCGCTTTCACGAAGTTTCCCCGCTCTTTTTTCTTCGATGTGGCCAGAATACACAAACAGGGCATGACAAAAACTTCAAACACGTACAGAACGAAATCAATTTTATTCAATTGGGGAATATTTGCTTGCGAAGAAGATAGATTGAGGCCGCCAGCCACTTTCGGCAGCGCATAGTCTACAGTCACAAGCGCTCTAAATTTTTCTTGACGACGAGAGTTTGCGCGGGTATGCTTGGGTTGGTAGTGAATCCAAAAAAACCCACGCCTCCACTCAAAGTTGGTTGCGAATAACCTACGCAGAAGATCGGAAGAGCGGGACCACAGGGCGCCTGGGCCCGGGAACAGCGGCAGACAAACTCAGACCGGAAGACATATCCACCACACTCCACTCACAATATGATTGCTGCAGTCGCTCAGAGTGCAGAAAGGGCGAGAAGTATAGAGTGGGCTGGTGTGCGAGAGGGTGGATGGGTGGGGTATCGGAACCACCACGTTAGTTACCAACTTGATTGACCATGATCATTTGCACATCATTTTCTTGTGACAAAACAAAGTCAAGCGGTATGTATGTATGTGGTATGTGAGAGGGGCGGGCGTGGCGTAAAGGGTCCATACGAAACCACACCTGCAGCGGACTGCTGTAGCTACAAGATCGGATTATTTGTCGTGGAAGTAACGGGGGTCCGCGTGAGTATTGTATGTAGCAAGCTGGCACCGAAGTTTTTGCGTTGAATCCAGCCCAAGGGCGCGATGGCACACCGAGGCCGTGGTGTGTGCATATGATGTGGTCGTGTGCGCGTGCCAGATGCAATTACAGGAATTGGCATAATCGGGTTAAGTTCACGTCTGGGTCACTGGTTGATGTGTAACTTTGTTGGGCCAGGTCGAGTTCACAGCAGTTGGTACGTACGTACGTACAGCAGTTGATGTGCACCAGCTGATGTGCACGTCGGCCGAACCTCACAACGCCAACAGATTTATTACCCCGCATTCATTCCGAGAATGTTTTTCGGGGTAAAGTACATGTAGGCGTTGCGTGCAAATGAAACAAATCATTCTGTTTATTTTGTTTTCTTTCGAATTGCTTCATTATTTCTTCGGTTTCTAGGCTACGTGTTGGGGAGAGAGACGCACGAAACGCTCATCGTCTCTCCGGCCGCGTTAGCTGCGAAGGCCGGCGTCAACTGTTACAAATCCATCTCTCTCCCCATAAATACTAGCCGGGGGACTACGACTGCAACCGCAGGAGTCCCAAAACTGACCAAGTCCTCAAATGGTACACACCATTCTACAACACCCGACTAGATACCGAATACTCCCGAACTTATGCCCCCACCTTCGAAAGAAAAGGGATGGGAGGGCGGGATTTCCTAAACTGCCGCCGCTACTGCGTTAGGCGGCTGCTGCTGTCCTTCCGTTGCTTCACGCGCTGTAGCTCTCACACGTTACCCGACTTTGCTACAGCCCCTGCGTGGACTCGATCACGGAATGACATCCCCACCTATAGACAACAATAATAAATCCAAACACCGTGACCCTGGGTTTCCGATAGAAAATGAAGCCAAATTCTAATTCGACTGTTACAAAATAAACACCAGTTTATTCTATCTGCTCTTCGAACAAACCTTCCTTTTATTTTGTTTTCTTTCGAATTGCTTCATTATTTCTTCGGTTTCTAGGCTACGTGTTGGGGAGAGAGACGCACGAAACGCTCATCGTCTCTCCGGCCGCGTTAGCTGCGAAGGCCGGCGTCAACTGTTACAAATCCATCTCTCTCCCCATAAATACTAGCCGGGGGACTACGACTGCAACCGCAGGAGTCCCAAAACTGACCAAGTCCTCAAATGGTACACACCATTCTACAACACCCACATCGAGGTCAGTTTCTGGACGACTACCGAATAACTCAACTATGCGTTCCCCATACGGTCCCCTCCCCCGGCTGTCTCAATACAATCCTGCTGCCGTCTGTAAGTTCCGTGACACTCGCCGCGAATCCTCTACATTGTTTGGCGCATACGGCTTGTAGGCATTCGACCTCCACTTCCCTTCTCTCTGAATCACTCGTTCTGCGATGTCTCCGCCCGATGCAAGAGCCGTCGCGTCTCCAATTCGCAACGAGTGCAACGCGTACTCCTGGGGGTTACGCCCCGACTTCGCTACCACTTCTCTTACTGCGCGGAGGGCAGCACTATACTTCACTACTCTCACTGCTCTTCCACTACGGTACGGAGCCAACGGAGCGGAGTCAGGCAACGTCGCATGACACGACAATAGCTCCACCACAAGAGCCACCGCGCCGCCGCGTGCTCTCACACCTGACTGCGGTCCGGTGACTTCGTCTCGCGTACGAACCCGTATGTTGCCTTTCTGCTCTTGATCGGCCTTGTGCCCTCTAAACCTCATTTCGACACGGTCTGCTCTACGACAGTGACTAAAGTCTAGTTGCGTCCCGTCGGCAAACAATGATTTGTCCACCCTCGTAAGACGGTGTGCCTCATGCACCCTGCCCGCGTCATTCGCAAACACCTCATCAGACCGTGTGATGAAGAGATAGGACAGGCACAGACACAGCCACATCACTCTGCCCCCTTCCCCCCAGTTCTGCCTTGCGCTTTCCCCGTCCAGCGGCATACGCCATAACACAGGCAGGCGCACACGGCGTACCGTCCCCATAGCCACGTGGTTCCTCGCCATCCCCCTTAGCGCACATTTCAACATCGGAGACGACAAGTCTAGCTCGACCGAAGCTTCCAGCCTACAAGTATGAAAATGTTGCACAGCCGTGAGTTTTCCGGATATTGTACTCGCTAGGTTACCCTCAGACTCGAAACACCAGGCTACGAAGTCTATCAACTCCCACACATGAAGGCCCCTGGCACGTTGCCCTAGAAACTTGGGCTTCCCCGTCAGCCTCCGAAACGTGCACCAAGAGTTGAAGCCTGGCGTGCAAGTCCTTCTAGACAACTGAGTGCTCGACGAGCTGGATGCCAAGACGTCGGTAACAGAGTCCTGTCCTGCCTGTCCCAGGTCCTGAACCTGCTGATTGACCTGGGCCAACCTCGTGTAGACCGGCGTGCTGCCGTTCGATTTGGCCGCATGTGCGCTGCCAACCGAGGTAGGCCCCCCCCGCCACGCGGGAGAGCCCGCACCTCTATTTGTCTTTTCCGTGGGTGAAGAAATCAGCGGCTGTGGGCCTCGCGCCGCCCTCGCCAGCGGCGCGCGCCTCTCCTCCGCACCCCCTGCCCCGTTGCCGTGGCCAACGTTGCGACCACGGTCTTCGACCCGGAAGTTTGAGAGCGTGTCGAGCGATGCAGCCACTTTCTCTGACACCAGAACGCCTTTGCGAGGCAAGGATTGCCACTTCGGCTCCGACAGTTTTGCAACTGCCGGAGGCCGTCCGAGGATGAGCCATGCTTTTAACCGGCGGAGGTCCCCCTGCATCCGCGCCCTATCCTTTGCCGCAGCCTTAGCAGCCTCGGCGCTGGGTACAGCGGGGGCCCGAGATGCCGGTGGTGGGGCGGTTGTGCCCACCAGTTGCACCTCCCCCTAAAGGCCAGGTCTTGCTGCTTGGGCGGCGATCAGGTCGTCGATCGATGCTTGAAGCTACTGGCGATCGCCGCCAGCCTCGTCCCGCCCCCGTTGCAGCTCCTCCCTCAGGCCGTCCACCAGCCCGCGGAGAGGAGCGAGCTCAGTCTCGTCAGCGGGGGGGGGTCGCCGCGGGTGCCTGTCCCTGTCCCTCGCGACGAGGATACCGCTCGACGC